ATATATATATATATATATATATATATATATATATATATATATATATATATATATATATATATATATATATATATATATATATATATATATATATATATATATATATATATATATATATATATATATATATATACATATAGATACATATATATATATATCTAGGTAAACTTTGGGGAAAATTGGGATGATATCGAATTATGAAATAGACGCACATATGCATCTAACCCTCGCATGTAGGGAACATATATGCAAATATAGAGTTTAACGTAAAAAGGGCCAGGTACTAGTTATATATTGTTTAACGTAAAAAGGTCTACGATGAGTCCATATTGCACGGCTGTGCGTGTACTATAAGCTTAAATATACATGACGTAAAATCACCAACATAATGGTTAGAATCACCACACTACATGCACAGAATACCACACACCTCCCATCCACAGAACACTTATTTCTAATACCCATGAAAATGGTACATTCATCATTGCACATACTACAACTTAATATAAAACCTACCGTCTGTAACTCCACGAACTTTTCGCGAGCATATACAGCACAGCCAGCACTTAACGCAAAACACCTATCAACACACTGAATGAACTATGGTAGACTTATCTGCAAGTACTATAAATTCATCTGCATATACAATACCACATAAATGTAAACGTAAAGGCCTACCGCCTGCAACTCCACGAACTTGTCGGCGGCTATGTACCGCACCCGCCAGCTCTTGTCGCGCCAGAACTGCTGCAGCGTCTGCATCATAAGGCTCTCATTCTCGGCCTGGGTCATCTGCTTGACCACCGTCACAGCACTCTCCGCTGCCAACACACGCACGCTGTCCTGCTCGTCGTGGGCTAAGGTGACGAATATAGGCACCAGCTCAGAGCGCAGGAACTCAGGCTCAATGACTTCAGCAAAACCTTTCATAACGGGTTGGTCTGCGGGTGCATCTGTGAGTGTCCACGTGCCAATCTTGCTGGCCGCGGCCCTTCGGATCATAGGCGTGTCATCTTTGCACAGCTTAATAAAGTGAGCGCGCAGATCGGTCTTGGTTTCTGAGGAAAT